GCCCGTATGCAGAGCTTGTTGGCTGCCTCATGTACCTGATGACCTGCACACGACCTGACCTTGCATACCCTCTTAGCATTCTCGCACGCTATGTTGCTCCTGGGAGACACCGACCAGAGCACATGGCTGCAGCGAAGAGGGTGTTGCGCTACTTGTGCAGTACGTCGGGCATGGGGCTAGTGCTTGGAGGGCGCAGTCCAGTGGTCCTCACAGGGCACGTGGACGCTTCTTGTGCTGACGACAAGGCTACGCAGCGGTCGTCACAGGGTTACACCTTCAGCCTTGGTTCCGGCTCCGTTTCGTGGCGGGCTACCCGCTCGTCTTCTGTTCTCGGCTCCAGTTGTGAGGCTGAGATCTACGCCGGGGCTATGGCTGCTCAGGAGCTTTGCTGGCTCACCTACCTGCTGACCGACCTTGGAGAGCCGCCTCGTTCTCCTCCAGTCCTGTACGTAGACAACAAGGCCATGCTGGCCTTGTGTCGAGAGCAGCGACTGGAGCACAGGACAAAGCACATTGCTCTGCGCTACTTTCTTGCTCGTGAGCTACAGCAGCGTGGACAGTTGCGACTTGCGTACGTGGCCTCTGAGGCCAACACTGCTGATGTCTTCACCAAGGCACTTGCGCCTTGTGATCATCAGCGTTGCTGCACGCAGCTGGGTCTTGTGCCTGTCTTGCCTCACTTGCTCACTTCTTGACCTTGCTTGTACCTTCACCTATATATACTCTTGCTCTTGTTTGCTTGACTCTTGTATATCTCTATATATGATCTTGCATGTGAACTGGCCTTGTGGCCCTTTACCTTGTGCTCGGAATGTGTGGTGACTTTGTGATCCACCCTGAGCTTTGCTTTGCTTTGCTTGACTGGTCTTGTGACCCCTTGTTCTCCCCCACTTTGCCTATGGGGGTGTGTCCGAACATTATAGCTTACTTATTTGTGTAGGCTATAGTGGGGTATCCCATAGGGGGTACAACCCAATTAGGGTTTCATATTTGTACTCACTTCATTCATGGTTCATTCATTCTCGTTCTTTCTTTCACAGTGATCTGTCACCAGGGTGAATTCCCTCCCCTGCAGGTAAACCCGGAAGTGTCCTAATGCCCACACGGATGCGAGACCCTCCCCATGGTAAGAGCTATACTTCGCCTCCGCTGGACTGCAGCTTCTGCTCGCATATGCCACCACCCTTTCCTCCCCATCTACTTCCTGACATAGCACCGCCCCCATGCCCAGGCTGCTCCAGTCAGTGTACAAGCAGAATGGCTTGTCCGCTTGAGGCAGCTGCAGTATGGTCCCTGTTTTTACTGCTTCCATGAGGTCCTTCAGTGCCTCCTGCTACTCTGTCCCCCAATCCCACTTCCTGTCCTCACGTAGCAAGCCGTTGAGTGCTGCTGCCCGCTTACTGAAGTTGGGCACGAAACGTCGGTAGTAGTTTAGGAAGCCTAACACTGCCCTGAGTCCTGTCCTGTCTTTCGGCTGCTGTAGTTGGTCTAACACCTCCACTTTCGCTTTCTGGATCCCTATTTGTCCGCCCCGCACCTCATAGCCCAGGTAGTGCACCGTTGCCTCTCCCCACCTGCATTTCTTCGGGTGGCAGGTGAGTCCCGGTGCTACTAGCGCTTCTAGCGTTCGCTCCACGTCCCTGACGTGCTCTTCTTCTGTCCTGCTAAAGATGACTACGTCATCTACGTAACAGGCGGCACAGTCCAGGCTCCGCAGCACGCTGTCCATAACCCTCTGGAAGATTGCTGAAGCGTTCCTCAGCCCGAAAGGCATGAATAGCCATTCGTACAATCCGTCCGCTCCATGAAACGCGGTCTTGCGCACGTCCTCCTTCCTAATCCGAATCTGATTGAAGCCCTGCCTTAAGTCTAGCGTGCTGAATATCTCTCCTGCCCCCAGCTTGTCAAAGATCTCCTCCGCAGCTGGCATGGGGTAGCGATCTGGCACAGTCACCTTGTTAAGCGCTCTGTAGTCCTCGCACATGCGCCTGCTCAGTATCTCCCCCGTCAGGTCCTTCCTAGCCGCTATCACGGTCGGCGCGGCATACTCGGACTCGGATCGCTGAATCAGTCCCGCCTCTATTAACTCCTTGCATTTTTCCTTGCAGATATCCGCGTCCCCTGGCGTCATCCGCCGCTTCCTCTGGAACACCGGTTCCTCCGTCATTAATTTCAGCTCCATCTCCTTAACGGTGCATTTCCCTAATTCCTGCAAGGTGAAGGCGAAGGCATGGCGGAACCTGGCCAGCACCGCCTGCAGTGCCTTCCTTCCGTCAGGGCTCATTGCATCTCCCACCTCCCATTTTGCTTCCTTTGCTCCTGCTGGCATGCATGCCCATGCCCCCATCTTCTCTGCTACTTCCCTTGCTTCCTCCTGTCTTTGGGTGCTGTCCCAGACCAGTCCCCTCCACATCCTGCGCGTCAGCCACAGCATTACCTGTCCATCCATTGCCCTTCCCAGCGCGCTGCGCCTTTCTTGCTCTGTGACTCCCTCCGCCCGTGTTATGTCCTCCCCGTACCCCATCGCCAGCTCTCGCTCAAGCGCTGTTGGTTCTTCCCACTGCTTCTTTCGGTGGTCGTACACCATCCCTTCCCCTGCCTCACCATTCTCCATTCTAAATCCCGCTGCTCCCTCAAAGGCCACCAGAGTTGGCCACGCCCTTCGCTCCTCCCCCACCTTGTTACACGGACACTGTGTCTCGTGTCTGCCTTTCTTCACTGGTGCCGCCATCCTCCCCACCTCCAGTATATCCTTCACTGTCCTGCCCCATGACCGCTTCACCCCATCTAGCTCCTCCTGCAGCTGGTCTTCCAGTACTACGTTCTGCCAATAGCGCCTTACCCAGTGCGCTCGTGCCCCCAGCCTTGCTGCATCACATCTGACTCCCTTTCCCAACCGCTTTGTCACCAGTTCCCTCACCCTTCTCACGGGCTCTCTCAAGTCCCCTTCCAGGTCCAAGTGCTCCAGTAGGTATGTTACTTCCCCCTGTCCTTCCTTTATCCAGTCCATAATGCGCAGCAAGTCTAACAGCAGTGCCCCCCTAGGATCCTCCATGCCTTTTCCCTTCCCCGCTCTCGATACCCCCTGGCACTCCCACCCTGCCACCAGTAGGTCCACGTGCCCCCAGCTGCGCACCATATCTCGTGTTATATGTCTCACATATCTCACCGTCCCACGCATGGCCCGCTCTATCACTTCTTCTCCCAACAGCTCTGGATACTCTTCCTGTAGCTTCTTCGCGTGGTTCTCCGCCATCTTCCGCACTCGTGTATCCTTCTCCACGTATATCCATTCTTTGACTGCAACCCCTGCTTTTAATACTGCTGCCAATCCTGCTCCTATCCCCCCGAATAGTTCCACCATCCTTATCGGCTGCAGCCAGTTGCTCCTCCTGTTCCCTGTGCCATTCAGCTCTGCTCCTTCCTCACCTCCCTGTCCTGCAATATACGCCCTTCTCGGCTCCTGCTTCACGAACCGCACAGGTAACTCACCCAACTCACTCTGCTTATTCCAGTACTGCCTCCTGAACTCCACTTGCTCTTTCCAGGTGCATATTGTCATTCCTACCTTGTACACTAAGTCGGTTCCCATCAGCACATCAAAATCTTCTGAGTCCGAGATGCCGCACTGCACTCGGATCCTTGTCTCCCCTTCTTGTCCTGGCAGCAGAACTATCTCCACAGGTGTTTTTGTGCTTGGCATCCACTTCGGCGCCCCTCCCTCTGCTGTCATCACCAGCATCCCCTTTTTAACATACTGGCCTAGCCCCGTCAGTCCCAGCTTTTGTGCCATCTTCCTTCCCAGCATCACGCTCTGAGCCCCCGTATCTATGATTGCTGCTCCTGCCCGTTCTCCCCCTACTGTTATGGCCCCTGCTTCAACTACCAACACTGTCGTCTGGCTGGCCAGTCTGTCCTTGGGGTGGCGGTGGGCTGTCCCTGCCTGCCCCTCTGTCCTTGCTGTCTTCTGCTCATGTCTGCGGCGTTCCTTCATCACCTGCTCTTTGCGCTTGTCCATCCCTCCGCTTCGTAACCCTAACTCCTCTCTGCTCCGCAGCACCGCAAATGACCACTCCACTTTCTGCTCCTCCTCCTCCCCATCTTCTTCCTCCTCTCTTGCATACATTCCCGCCTCCCTCTCCTTCTTCCCTCCCATGTCCCGCAACTGTGCCTGCAGCCTACCAATCTGCTTCTCTATGTCCTCGGATGACCTCTTTGGCCCACCTGTCCTTTGATAGCAGTCCTTCGCCTGATGTCCCTGTTTCCCACACACCTCACACTTGGGCGCGTCCGGGCATTCCCTCCGGCGGTGCCCAAGCTTGCCACATGTGTCACAATTCTTGCAGTCCCTCTTTATATGCCCTTGTTGCCCACACCTGTGGCAGGTGCGTGTGTCCACCCTTCTCTCCTGCCGATTCTCCTCCCTTGTCCCCTCCTCGGGTATCATTGCTGCTGCCCAGGTAGGTTTTCTTTCTTCTGCCGCTTTTGGCAGGTAGGCCTCATACCGCCGCTGCGCCAGTTCCATCTTTTCCGCCAGCTCAAACACCTCCTATAGTGTGGCCTCCGCCCCTAGCTCATATACTCGCATTCTCAGCCCCCCGCTCAACCCCTTGTCCAGTCCCCCCAGGAACTTACTTATGAGCATGCTGTTGTCCGTGCATACGACATCTTCCGCCAGGTTCATCAATCTCCCGTAATAGGTAAGCAGTGACTCTGTTTTCCCCCGTCTGAACTCCTGAAACTCCCTAATCCTTTCCGCCGTATGCCCCGGGAACTGCTTCCGAAGGCGCTCCAGGAACAGTATCGTGGGGTCCTCATCATCCTCCTCCGCCCTTCTCAGCCACTCCTTCATTTTCATGCGGTACAGCGTCTCTGCCTCCCCTCCCAAGGTGTTAGGCAAACTTAAGAAGAACTCGATCGGGTCCATTCCGCTACGGTCACAGCGGTACTTCACGTTACCTATCTGCATAAGGTAGTTCCTCAGGTTGCTCCCTATTCCTATGTCTCCCGTGAACCTCACCGGCACCTCCACCCGTGGCTTTGCTGCCGCACTCCATCTCCCCGTCTCCCACGTCCCTGACTCCTCTCCTGCCGGATGGCCGTACTCCCTGCCCCTTGCTCCTGATCGCCTGCTCTTTGTGCTCCCTCCGTACAACGCACGCTCTATGCCTTCCCTCGCAGCTCTTGCTCCCCTCGAGCCTTCCCTCACACGCTCAGACCTTCCCTGCCATCTCGGGCTCGGGCTACGCCTCTCGCTGGCCTTCGCGCCGCTCTCTTCTCGCCTTTCCCTGCGTTGACCCCTTGCCTCAGGTGATTCTCCGTCCTTGCGCTGGTCTTGCTTACCATGCCTGCGACGGGCCCGGTCATACTCCTCTTCGCTCTCAGACTCAGTCTCAATTTCCCGTTCCTGGCGCCGCCTCTCATATCTCTGTTCCTCCTCTTCTTTCCTCCTTCTTACCCCATCCTCAGGTGTCTTTTCCGCCTCTGACTTTCCTCGCGATAATCCGCTCCTTTCCTCACGATGCTCATTTCCTCTCTGCTCTCGATCATCCGCGTCCGCGCGCGACCTTCCTCCCTCTTCTCGTTCGCTTCGCACATCTCTCTCATGGCGATCCCCTCCCTCATACGGCTCTGGCGACCTTCGCATGCCCATCGCCCTTCGTCCCCTCCTCCCGTACCTTTCACGCGGCTCAGGCGAACAGTACGCCCCTGCCTGCTCGCGCTGATGGCGGACACCTTCACCGCGTCCGTCTGAAAAGCGATCTGCTTCCGCGCGCGCGCGAGGCTCCCCTCCGTTCTCGCGTACAGGATCCGTCGCGTCGCGCTCCGTCCCTTCTCCCTTCTGGGCCATTTCTCCGTCCTCGTGCTCCTCCGCATCCGCAGCCTCTCCCTCTTCAGGTTCCTTCACGCCGTCCCGCGCAATTGGGACATCGTCATCGTCGACCCCGTCGTCCTCGCTTGACGACTCTAACTGGTCGCGCACATCAACCTCCTCGAGGCGCTGGACGCCCTCGCTGCGACTCGGCAGATTCCAAGGATCGCTTCGCGTGGTTAGTGATATGGGAACTGACTCCGCAAAATGTCCAGGCTCACCTTTCGCGCGCCGATTCCTTTCAAGCATTACCCGATCCGCGCGGTATGCTTCCGTACGCGGCGAGCGTACTGGCGATCTCCCGCGCTCTCGTGAGCGCATCCTCCGCTGCACTCCAGGACCCCGTCGACTGTAGGTCCTAGCCCATCGATGCTCGTGGCAGTCCATACTGCGCGTTTCTTCTCTCGTTTGTGAGGAATCCGTCCCCCACACTTGGCTACTCCGAGTGGCCTCGTCACCTGGCTTAGAAAGCTTAGATCAGCAACTTAATCCACTATAGAGAGTAAACAAACGAGAGAACTAATCGAGTGATGTTTCTCTAGGCTATAAATCTACCCTCGGCCAAGTCGCCAATGTCTCAGAGTTCTGGTTGAGTTCGGGCCGCTCCAGCTTGGTGTTGGCCAGAGTGATTTCCCAGTTGCTCGAGGCTCTTGGGTTCACTTCTTGCGCGCCTCGCTGGTCCCCAGGCCACCAACTTCGCGTCACTCTCCCTGCTTCCCACCAACCTGCTTACAAGTCAAATAACATTCTACACCCCGCTCCATATGCTACAGCACATCACATTGCACCGTATTAGCGTTAACAGGATGAATTGCAACTTCCCTCAGTGAATTCTGTGACAAGCAGGCAGCTATGGACGCAGAGATGGCTTCCTGGAAGTCCACAGGCACCTACGTTGACGAGGTTCCCCCGCCTAGGGCGAACATCGTTAGTGGCATGTGGATTTTCAGGGTGAAGCGGCCGCCGGGTTCTCCGCCTGTCTTCAAGGCGCGTTACGTGGCTCGTGGCTTCAGTCAGCGGCAGGGAGTTGACTACTTTCAGACCTTCTCTCCCACCCCAAAGATGACCACTCTTCGGGTACTGCTGCACATAGCTGCTCATCGTGACTACGAGCTTCACTCTCTTGACTTCAGCACAGCTTTCCTACAGGGCAGCCTGCACGAGGAGATCTGGCTGCGCCGCCCACCTGGCTTCACTGGGTCTTTTCCTCCTGGCACCCAGTGGAGCCTCCGGCGGCCAGTCTACGGTCTCCGCCAGGCACCGCGTGAGTGGTATGACACACTGAGGACTACACTTGTGGGTTTTGGGTTTGCTCCCTCTACTCCCGACCCGTCGCTGTTTCTGCGCACCGACACTTCTTTGCCGCCATTCTACATCCTCGTGTACGTCGACGACTTGGTCTTTGCCACACCTGATACTGCTGGACTCGCCCACGTGAAGTCCGAGCTGCAGAAGAGACACACGTGCACAGACCTGGGTGAACTGCGCAGCTACCTTGGCTTGCAGATCACCCGGGACAGAGCACGCCGCACCATTACCCTGACTCAGTCACACATGGTGCAGCAGGTCCTTCAGCGCTTTGGCTTCACGTACTCCTCGCCTCAGGCCACTCCTCTGCCTACTCGCCACTCGCTCTCAGCTGTGCCTTTGGATGAGTCCGTAGAGTCGAGTGGCCCGTACCCAGAGCTTGTTGGCTGCCTCATGTACCTGATGACCTGCACTCGACCTGACCTTGCATACCCTCTTAGCATTCTAGCACGCTATGTTGCTCCTGGGAGACACAGACCGGAGCACATGGCTGCAGCGAAGAGGGTGTTGCGCTACTTGTGCAGTACGTCGGGCATGGGGCTTGTGCTTGGAGGGCAGAGTCCAGTGGTCCTCACTGGACACGCAGACGCTTCTTGGGCTGACGACCAGGCTACGCAGCGGTCGTCACAGGGTTACACCTTCAGCCTTGGTTCCGGCTCTGTCTCGTGGCGGGCTACCCGCTCGTCTTCTGTTCTCGGCTCCAATTTTGAGGCTGAGATCTACGCCGAGGCCATGGCTGCACAGGAGCTTCGCTGGCTCACCAACCTGCTGACTGGCCTCAAAGAGCCGCCTCGTTCTCCTCCAGTGCTGTACGTAGACAACAAGGCCATGCTGGCCTTGTGTCGAGAGCAGAGACTGGAGCACAGAACGAAGCACATTGCTCTCCGCTACTTCCTTACTCATGAGCTACAGCAGCGTGGTCAGCTGCGCCTTGCGTACGTGGCCTCTGAGGCAAACACTGCTGATATCTTCACCAAGGCACTTGCGCCTTGTGATCATCAGCGCTTCTGTACTTAGGTGGGTCTTGTGCCTACCTTGCCTCACTTGCTCACCCCTTGACCTTGTTTGTACTGCTGCATATATTTTACACCTGCTCTTGCTTGTTTAGCCTTATATATATATGTAATCCTGCATGTGAACTGGCCTTGTGGCCTTGAACTTGTGCTCGGAATGTGTGGTGACTTTGTGATCCACCCTGAGCTTGCTTTGCTTTGCTTGACTGGTCTTGTGACCCCTTGTTCTCCCCCACTTTGCCTATGGGGGTGTGTCAGATTTATATGACATAGCTATTGTAGGCTATAGTGGGGTAGCACATATGGGGTACAGCTTTCTAGGGTTTGTACTTGTACCCAACTTTCCCTTAGTCATTTCATTCTCGTTCTAGTTTTCTCAAGTCGTTTGTAGAAAATGACGTCGCGTGCTGCTAGTGTTTCCTTGGAGTGGACGTCAAAGATTTTCCACGCGTTGTAGTTCTTTTCGATGCCGAGGTGTAGTCCCCACTGTGCGCGTTGTGAAAATCGGCGCGCTCGTGCTGCTGGGGGTTGGTACTGTACCATGCATCCGAACACTCGTAACATTTTTGTGCTGCCCTGTTTTCCTGTCCACAGCAGATGCGGTGATGCGTTGTTCGGTAGTGATGAAGATGAGATCAAGTTGTGCAGCATGACAGCGTGGTCCATCGCGTCAGGCCATTGGTGGTTGGGTAGCCGCATGCCACGCAACAGTTTGCGCATGCTGTTCTGCAGAGTCCTGTTCATTCTTTCTGCTACACCTTGCTGCTGATGGGCGTAGGGAAGAGAGAGGAGCTGCTTGATTCCCCTTTCCGCTAGGTACTGCTTGAATCGCTGATAGGTGTATTCTCCTCCTCCGTCAGACCGGAAGCTTTTCAGCTTTACGCCCGACTCTCTTTCTGCTACTGGTAGCCAAGCAGCGAATGCTTCGAGGACCATGTTGCGGCTGGGTAGGTTTAGATGCTAGACGTAACGGGTGGCGGCGTCGATGAAGGTGATTGTGTAGTTGTATATTACTTGTCCTGGTTCCCGATTGTACAGGATGCCGCTATACACCTTTTCGAGTGGTGCGTACGCGGGTGCGCTCGGGTTGTGATGAGGAGTGAACGGCCGATGTGGTAAGTCGGCTTCGGGGCAGGTAAGACATGTTCCTCGTGCCCGTTGAAGTTCTCTGCCGTCGAGTAGTAGTGACGAGTCCTTGTCAAGGACTCCTGCTCTTATTGTGTTGTTTAACACAGTGTTGCTTGGGTGTCCCATGCGTGCGTGCCAGATGTCTTCGGAGGCGCGGTGTCCGGGTGAGCGTCGATACGCGTCGGAGTTGGAGTAGAAGCTGGCGGTGAAGTTTGCGCTTCTATGGACTTCCCGTTGAGCCGGATTCAGCTGCTGTGCGGGTGTTGGTGGTGCTTCGTCAACGAGGACTGATGTCGTTGTTGCTGCTACTGTTGTTGTTCCTGCTACTGCCGATGATGTCTCTGCTGCTGCTGATGATGTCTCTGCTGCTGCCGATGTTGTCTCTGCTGCTGCCGATGTTGTCTCTGCTGCTGCCGATGTTGTCTCTGCTACTGCCGAATGTTGTATTGTTACTAACACACGTGTTCGTTCTGCTTCAGGAATGGTATGTGAATACCAAAAGCCTTCCGGACTGAAGTCGGGGTCGAGATCCGACGGGTGCGTCCAAGATGTGAAGGTGATGATCCCGTCACTGTCTGCGGTGCCCAGGTCTGGGATGAAATCGAGAACGAAGACATTGTTCTTCAGGACCGCCTTTCCGATGTAGAGGCCGCCCTTCCCGTGGTACAGCTTGAACTCCTGGGTGGTACTGTCGGCTTCCAGATGTATGCCTTTCGCCATCAACTGACTGACGCTCAGTAAGTTGTAGCCAAGTCCTTCCGCTATTAGGACTTTGGACATTTGCAGTATGACATTCGTCTCTCGTGACTGAAGTTGCACTACTCCTTGTCGTTGTGTGCGCAGGTTCTGATTATTGGCGACAGTGATGACGACTTCTTGTCAGAACTTATATTTGTAACTGCCTGTAGCTGTAGTTAGTGTAGTTATTTAAACTTTGTTTGGTGGTGCACCTTATTTGTTTCCTTTGCTATATGTTCTTCGAAACCTATAGTGAAACACATTCTTCCCAACTTCCCTTCCAACTCACTCGTACTGTCAGAATATTATCTTATGTTCTAGCCTGTAGTGGGGTGCTCTATAGCGAGTACAACCCTTGTAGGGTTTGCTATTTGTATCCCCATTTCTGCTAGTTCAATCCTCTTTCTTTCTTCAAACTTTGTCATGCTATCAGAGCAGGTCGATCCCCTTGGATTGATCCTGTGGGTGGGTTACCACCTCGCTTCCGCTGCTACTTTTTCCTCCCGCCGTGCGCCCCGAGGCGCGCGGCGGGCGTCTGCCTCGCGGCGTTCGCCGCGTCCCGCTCTGGAGGCGTCGCGACGGGCGACGGGGACCCGTCGCGGCCCCGCCACAGACCCGTCGCGGCCCCGCCACCTCCGGTCGCGGCCCTGCCGCCTCGCGTCGCGGCCCAGCCGCCTTCGGTCGCGGCCCCGCCAACTCCGGTCGCGGCCCCGCCAACTCCGATCGCGGCCCCGCCAATTCCGGTCGCGGCCCCGCCAACTCCGGTCGTGGCCCCGCCACCGACCCGTCGCGGCCCCGCCACCGACCCGTCGCGGCCCCGCCGCCCCACTTCGTGGCCCCGCCGCCCCACTTCGCGCCCCCCCCCCCCCCCCCCCCCCCCTCCTCCCCCCCCCCATTTCCCGT